GCGGGACAAGCTAGAATGCGGGAACCGCCCGCCAGCTCCATCGCCGGGCCAGGGCAGACAGAGCAAATGCCCCAGGCCCACCAAAAATTGCCCAGGGACTGCAGTCATGTGGGGTGAATTTTAGTATTAATTGCACTATTAGTTGTAGTTGGGAAGTAAAAGTAGGCCAATGAGGGGAAGAGGTACGGGTGAGTGATTCTCAGTTGCACAGCGCTGCAGCCACTCTGACTTCTCAAGGGAGAGGAAGTGGTTGCGGAGGAACATGCGAGGGTTGGGAGAGGTGTCCAGAAGGGAGAACGATGCTGGTAGAGAGTTGATCAATTTGGTGGTCGTATGAGTGAATGAAGTATGGAGTGTTGATGTACGAGCAGATGGGTAGTCAAGACGTGGAGGAAGTTGTCGGGTCACTCTAGGGTTGGGATCACGGCTCTCAAGGAGTGAGAAACGCGCTGCCAGGCAGGATGGTGTGCCACCGATCACAATTTTCCTTGCCAGGAGAATCATGAGTTGGTCGCTCCTACGCGTAACAGAGAGCCAACCAAGCGCTAAACAATAGGGCGTGACATGTGCCGTTCGTGGGATGTTGCCGTAGATGAATTTAATGCAGGCATTTTGTAGGCGCTGCAATCGGAGCTTCTGCTCAGCCGTGATGCTTGTCAGCGCAGCCATTGCGTAGTCGAGGTGTGGAACAATCAGCGCCTGAACGAGACGCTGGTGTAGATGACGTGACAGGGAGTTGCGATGGTGACGTCGGGAGTATAGGGCATAATGAATTTTAGATGAGGCTGATGAAATTTGTGCATCCCAGTTCAAGGATCTTAACGGAGGGTGAGTACTTGAGTGTTGTACCCCTGGTGGGCAAAGTCGGAAATAAAGTTCGGTCGAACTTGTGCCTCGTCGCGTAATATTGTACATCATCGCCCGTTGGGCAACTTGAAGTGGTTTTCCGGCCTTTTGGGCCTCGAATTAAATAAAGTAAAACATTTAATCGAGATCTTAGCCTATTTATTTCGCGACAGTTTTTTTTCGCGGATTTTCAGCAGAAGTTGCCGGAGTTCAACAGTGAGTCAGCGAGTCTACAGCAAGCTCGCACTGACGACGGGCCCAATATCCCCTCTGGGAGTAATCGACCATGTAAGGTGGTCCTATAACAAATTTATTCGACGGCAGGTGATTTGCTGCTTTTCCCCGCCCCGGGGTCAGCTGTCCGTCGCATGATATAATAATAAAATTTAAAAAAAATGATGGTAATGATAACACTGGCGTCGAGGACGACGCCGTCGTGACCACGGACGTGTCGCGGTATTCGCGTGCCGTTTGCCGAATTGCCACTTTTTGCGACGCAAGCTCGGGTGACGAGCTCTGTAACGTTACAATATATCGAATCAAATATTATATTGCGAACTATTTAAAAGTGATTGACAAAATTTATATTAAAATTAAAGTAATGCTGGAAATGGTCGCAATGAGTAACAAATAATGTTTTTTAAAATTTTTTTTTTTAGAAACTTGGGCCGAGTTGGTATTTTTTAAAATCAATTTTAATTTTATCTCGGAAAATTAGTTGGGAATTATTTATTATAAGCGTATTTGCTCTACAGTGTATACACATTTTTCTTTATTATCTCAGCACGGCGATATTGAAGGGAAATACGAGTCAAACTAAGCTTGCTTCACTGCTACTGTATACTATAGCAGTACTGTATCTCAGCACGGTGATATAGAAGAGAAATACGAGTCAAACTAAGCTTGCCTCACTTGCTACTGTATACTATAGCAGATTTTTTCAAAGTGGACATAAAAAAGCTGCACAATGTTCGATATCGACTTGAATATATTTTTCAACACGATGATCGTTAGTCTTAGTGCAGCATCCGTTTAGACAACATGTGTCGAAGAAAATCTATCCCTGAAATAACGGAGCCAGACGAACCGGACTTCCTCTTAGATTATCCGGAATGGAAAAAGCTTGAGGACCCGGTCCTCCCCATAAACTTTCTGGAGAGAGGTATGGCCGAGGCCGAAGATTGGCCCATGCAATACGATAGTGACGGCAGTACCATCTATGAAGATAGTCTCGACTGTGAGAGTGAAAGTGATAATGAATCAATAATATCGCTATTTCATAGAACAATAGATGTGCTACACATCGACGAATTGTTAGCGTCCAAGCACGTCGTTCTACACAACGGTTGCGTAGTGGTAGACTTTTACTACCTGGAAGTGCGTGTGAGTGTTGATGATGAATTGATAGCGACCTTGGACCTTAACCTATTATGTCACGACGAATGTTGGGACGACGATGCACCAACATGCACCTGGTGCGGCGAGACGCTAAAGTCAAAAGACTCAAGGATTTTCGCAAAATTCGACTACATGCACCAAGAGCAAAAATACTACTAGAGAAAATACTATTATTATCTTGATTAGTAGCTCACAACTTGATCATCCACGGGGCCACTGCAGCCCGTGTATATCATTAATGAATACATTTTATTGTTAGAGAGCGAGCAATGCATACGACGAGAGCCGATTTATAAAATATGAAAAATAATAAAGTAAATGCAGTGTCACTTTCATGTTAGATCGCGAAAGGCAGCGAGCCGAGATACACTGATACTAATTAAATTGAATTAAAATTGATAGTTGTTGATTTGGATTAAGAATAGCTTGAATTAAATTGATAATTAGTAAATTAAATCGGTACCATCTGAATTGTGAATAAATTCGAAAGAGCAAATTTCCAGAAATTATTAGACGAGGACACCTTCAATAAAGTGTCTCGGGCATATTTTCAATCGCTTTACGTAAGCTTTATCGAATTTGGTGCAGTATGCACTGGCATAACAGGCTGTGTCGTGGTGATACAACTGATTAAGCTAGTAATCGACAGTCATTTTCGGTGTCATTCTGTACTCAATATACGGATGGAGTTTTCGCCTGTTAGGTGCCTTCTTTGGCTCAATCACGACAATGTTAATTCACATCGGAAGACCACCCGCCAATAATGACAACGACAGCAACGACAGTAGTAACTAGGGCTGTGAGAGTAGCTGAGTTTTCGAATTTACTCGACTCAAACTCGACTCGCCGAGCTCAAGAAAAAAACTCATTACTCGAAAAAACTCGAGTAATCAAAAAATCGAGTAATCGACTCGAACTTGAGAAAATAACTCGAACTCGTCGATAGCATATAATTGCAAAAATGTTAACAGTATAGAGTAAAGAAAAAAAACATGTACAGTTGTAAAACAAGCAATGACTAATAATTTAAGTTTAGCAAAAACAAGATAATTGAAAAAAATTAAAAAATATTTTCTCAAATCCAAAGAATTTCCGTGGAGCTGAGTCTTATCGCTAGAATTTTGAAGTTTTTTATCGTATAGGTGCGTTGATGCATATTGAAGGTTGAACTCTATGTACGTTCAAGCCAACTGACAATCTTGGTGTTGTGGCTGAGGCATTTTCTTATGTCAGAGGTTTTAGAGTGCGTTGAAAATGTTAGCTGATGTAGAAAAATCGACTAAAAAATTTTAGAACTACCAAGTTATTGAAGGCCGCTTGTATCCTTTTCACCGTGATCTATTGCTAGACCTGATTAAAAATAGAGAAGAGCGATAAAAGCTAGTCGCTTCAGCCGAATATCGCGAAAGAGTTCTAGCCGACATTCGGCTGCGGACATCTCGGTATGGGTAAAACTTATGGTTGTATAACCAGAGAGTATTATTCGATAGGTTTTTACTATGACACGTTGAAATATATTCAATAGTGTCAAACATGTCAACAATATAAGCTGATCCATAAAGAGCCATGAGGGCCGATTGGTAGACGTGTATTAGAGAGGCTGTGGATAGTTGTGCCACCGACTTAATAGAGTTCCCACCGAGCCAATCACTGAATAAATATCTTGTCGTTTTTCAGGATTTGTCGATCTAGTGGATAGAAGTAAAGCCTTTACGCCGAGGTGATTGCAAGTCTGTAGCTCGCGCCTTTTAAGATTTGATACTTTTTCGATGAGTAGTTCATAGACCACTTTGGGCAGTCATAGCAAATGACGTCATAATCATAACAAACCCCCACCCTTTATTGTACGTATAGTTTATGAAACACAAACAGTTCGTCATCAGTGTTCATCATAAAAGCATCATCAAACTTGTGTCGTAAAGATAAACCATTGTCATCTGATGAAGAAGATGACATGTACGACGAATGGATGGGCCAATTTCTCCATGTTATATACCGGGCACTGCGTAAAGTGTCTATTCGATATTTAAATTTTGCTCGAAAAATAGGAAGTCGTGTGTTGCTAAGCAACACGACTGTTGTTGTAAAAAGTTGATTTCGACGTTACTATTAATTCGCCCGGCGGCTTGAACACACACCACTTGGGTTCCATAAATCTTTCTCTGTTGGTTTTTAAATAAAAACTTAAATTCTATAATTTTTACGATTTCCTCGTTAAGAAATAATTTTAGAAAGGCCCCGCCGATTCTCAATTGAATCGAACTACTTATGAATAAATTGTGAGTTTTTTTTATACCTTCTAGTTTTTCCTCACATAAAAAACATGTACAGCTCATACTTTAGCCATAACAAAATTAAGCTCGGTAAATAAATATAAGCAATGAAATAAAAATCGACTCGGTCGAGTCGAGCTTTTTCTAGTACTCGCACCCCCTATCCTGAAGAGCTTGGCAAACGGCCAACGAAACGTTGATCTATGCTTATCAATAAAAAAGTTTTGACGATTTACGAGACGAAATTTTATGTTGTTATTTTCCTATTAATGTGAGTTTTCTTTGCGGTTAAAGAGTCATTACTGGCCTCTAATGCTATGATTATAATAAAAATACACTGAAATTACGTAGACGAACAACTTGAATTTAAAAATGACAATGAGCTTTACTAATAACGTTGAAGAGTATTGTTCGTGTTGTAAAAACAAATGGTGTATCACTAATTAGATAGATTCTATATGATTTTATTATTTAAACCTAGTATTATCAACTAAAACAATTATAATATTGTTAAGTTTAGTTTAATCTATTATTTCATCGACTCAATTTAATCAATCATTTCTTGGCTTTGAAATAAGTTTAATTCTTGCTGTTTCTCTTGATCGATTATGTACTTCTGCTGTCCGAAGAGTTATTCCAAAAATATCCTCATGGAATCGATTTTCATCCTGTTCAAAATCAAAATTAGAAAGCTATCAATAAAGTATTAGATATCTTGAATTTTTGTTATTTTGACATTTTGATAAAATGTCAATAAAATGTTTCCAACTTAGATTTAGGTAATGGTGCGTTTATAGTAGCGATGTACGGTCCTTAAATCGAATTCCGTGTCAGGTATTCGAAATCGTCCTCGACACACAAAATTTATGTCCATATTTTTTATATTTTGCATAAACTACTTGAAGAAGGAAAAGTAATTAAATTTTACGGTGCATATTACGTGCGAGCAAGTGAGCCTACATAAAATGTTACCACGTACGGTGAACATGAAAAAAATTCTGAAATAATCGAACACGTTGAGAACGGCGAATATGCTGAACACGCCCCAATACGTGAAATATTGAAAACGGTGTAAATGCCTAAATCACTAATAATGGTGGAAATGTCAAAATCACTGAAAATAGCGAAAATGCCTTAATCACTAAAAACAGTGAAAAAGTCTAAAATTCTGAAAACAGAAAAAAGCCCAAAATTCCGAAAGGGCCGAAATTCCTAAGATGACAAAAATGACGAAAATGACAAAAATGCCGCAAATGCCAAAAATTACAAAAATTACGAAAATGTTGAAAATTCTGTGAATTTTAAAGAGACAGTAAGTTTGTTTATGAAATATATCATAATATGAGCCCTTACATTTTAGTCAAAAATTTTTATTTGAACCAGGATAAGAGAAAACGTATATTAAAATGTTCTTTTTTTATAGAGTTTGTACAAGAATGTTTTTATTGTTTCAACTTTCATCTTTTTTCAATTACAATTTAAGGAGATCTGGACCCCACATTTTTATCGACCGAGACACGCAAAGTTTCATTAATTTTTAACTTTTTCTGTAATTCAAATTTCGACAAATGGCTCTATGGCGACCTTCATTTTGTTACTAAACATAAGCAGTTAAAATTGCAGCCCATTCCATTGCGTAAATTTTCAAAATTTTCAATCCAGTTTTCCGGGAAATCTGCTCAATAGAATGGGCTGTAATTTTAACTACTTATTCTTAGAGACAAAATGAAGGTCGCCGTTGAGCCATTTGTCGAAATTCGAATTACAGAAAAAGTTAAAAATTAATGAAACTTTGCGTGTCTCGGTCGATAAAAATGTGGGGTCCAGATCTCCTTAATTAAAATTAAAAAAATACATGTCATTTTAAGTATGAAGAAACTTTTTACATTTCAGTTTTTAGATTTATATAAGTTTATATTCACAACGCAGATTATAATAATTATGTTATTCAAAAAATAAAAAATAAATATATATGTCACGATACGTGATGAGAAAAAAAGTTTACATTTTCATTTCAGGGTGTAGATTACTATAAATGTATACTGAATAAGGAAAAGAGTTTTTTAATTAATTATTGTTTAAATATTGCATAGGCCAAATATATTTCGTACTTGTTTACCTTTTCTACTTTGCAAAGAGTAACTATAATGATGATTTTCTTAATTGATTGGACTTGTCAGTAGTTCTTTGATATGGAATAGTTTCATTTATTTCCAAGTTAATTAAAAAATTATGCAAAATACAGGTACTTTTAATGACTTGTTCGACAACTAAAGGACTTAAATTAATGGTAGTATAGAAAATATGCCATTTTTGGCAAGTTTTCGCGAAATCATTCTCAACTACCACTCGAGCGCGTGATAGTTTCTTATTAAATTTAACCTTTTCTTTTGGTAGATCATATCCTTTGAAAGGTTTCATGAGGTATTCACGAATAGGATACGCCCTATCTCCAACCAAATAAAATGGCAAGTCAATATCAGAAAATGGTTATTTTGACCTAGGTAAACTTACAAACACCGATTCGATGGCCTTTTTTAATCTCGAGTTTTCAAAAATTCAACAAAATTACGAGAGCCGTATTCACATAGATCAACGGTTATGTAGCGATAAGAAGTATCGACATAAGCTTGCAACACCATTGAAAAGAATCGTTTATAGTTGTAATAGAGCAAGGCCGAATGTGGAGGTTTGATAATACATACATAAAGGTCATCTATCGCACTTATACAATTTGGAATCCCCCATTTCTCGTTAAGTTCACTCTTGAGATTAGACCATAAAAACTTCATACATTCTTGTACTACAGATGATATCGTAGATATGACGAAGTTGAAATTAAAACTTAAACTCCTGAAACTATGGCTGGTTGATAAAAATATCAAAGTTATAACGAGTCTTTCCTGTAGTAAAACTTTACGTTTCCGTAAATTGTACCATTTTTTTAACGATGGTTCAATTTTAGCGAGAATGTACTTGAACGTTCTAGGTGACATTCTCATGTACTAAAAATAATCTTAACAATACATTTTTTTACGTATATTTGTCTGCAGAATCAAATACCGTAGTCAGTTTTGATCTAGGAGCACCATTGCATTGGAAAAAATTCACTTTGTCGATCGTTATTTTTTAAAAACTTCACAAAGTTCATTTTCGAGCGAGCGGCAAATGAACAGAAAAAATGGAGAAAATTTTTTGACACCACCAAGATTTGGGATTTTTAATGAAAAATCCAACGATATATATGAGTATACACTTTAAAATTATTTTAATGCAGAAAAGGACTTCATCCCAAAAAACGATATTAAAAATGGGCAAAAGGGGAAAATATATTCGTTTCTTCAAGAAAATGGCAGTGTATAATCACTTATGAAAAAAAATCCACACTACTATCTAATAGGTTTTTTTCTCACCTTTCTAACGCCGTTTTTAGATTTTAAAAATTTGCAAATTTTGCTGAGATACAGCTGTTTTTGTACGATGCAATTTTGTAGCTTTAAATTCTGCTTTGCTGGTTTTTTAACGAATAGAGCTAGCTCAGAATTATTGAATTTTAAGCTACAAAAGTACATCTTTCAAAAACAGCTGTATCTCAGCAAAACTAGCCAATTTTTAAAATCTAGAAACGGCGTTGGAAAGGTGAGAAAAAAACCTATCAGATAGTTGTATGGAATTTTTTTATGAGTGATTATGCTCTGCCATTTTCTTGAAAAAACAAATATATTTTTCCATTTTGCCAATTTTTAATATCGTTTTTTGGGATAAAGTCGTACTTTTCTGCATTAAAATAATTTTAAAGTGTAAACTAATGTATACTGTTGGATTTTTCATTAAAAATCCTAAATTTTGGTGGTGTCAAAAAATTTTCCACATTTTTTCTGTTCATTTGCCGCTCGCTCAAAAATGAACTTTGCGAAGTTTTCAAAAAAAAAAAAACGATCGACGAAGTGAATTTTTTCCAATGAAATTGTGCTCCTAGGTCAAAACTGACTACGGCATTTGATTCTGCAGACAAATATACGTAAGAAAATGTATTGCTAAGATTATTTTTACACATTGAACAGATTTGAAATAAATCGAATGGTAGTCCTATTTTGCTCCTTTTTAGGAGCACTTTGTTAAACTTCAAAAATCCATCGACAACATCTAAAATCATTTGTTTGAGTTCTACTTTAAAGAAAACTTCATTTTAAACCTCAAACTTTCAGATTCCGATGAATCCTCCAAGATGCAAAAAATTTTTGAAAGAGTGGACCATCCTAATGTGTACACTAATACCGCACAATAATAACACGCAAATACCACGCATAATTTTGTCAAAAAAATCCGTATCTTGTACAAGGCTCACTGTATGCCCCACGTGTATGACACAGATTATGAGCCGCAAAGCCGATTGTTAATTGTACCAAATAACAGATTTTAAATTATATTCATTATTGCTTACCGAATCTCAGATTATATCTTCCAGATGTTTTCGCGTGTTGTTCACCGTCGCTGTAGACTGCTCACCGCAGTATCGAACTCAATCTTACGAATGTTAATATACGCAAGCAAACTATGATGAGATTCTTCAGAAACGCTGTAAATGGATCAACTATAATTATAAGTTGTCCGGATCATTAGACCGATAAAAACGAGTGAAACTAACCTATTTTTCAAAAAATGTAATGACTTTTCGCTTCGGCCCAACAAACTATGATTTCTACGGCAAATGCTGTAAATCGACCAAAATTACAATCTCCGAAAGATTAGAAAAAAGTATAAAAAAACTAACCTCTTGTCAATATCGTTACGACTGTTCGTTTCGACGTTTGTGCATGGTCTGTGCCCCACATTTTTAACCTACAAAGTCGAAAAATTTGTTCAATTTATATATATTTTTCTAAATCGAAAATCGAAAAACGGCTCTATGGGAACCTTCATTTTATTGCTATGAATAGCTGGTAAAAATTTGAGTTAATTCCACCGACCAGATTTGCCGGAAAACGTGTTTGAAAATTTCAAGCCGAAAAAAAGGGTGCAAATTTCAAACACGTTTTCCGGGAAATCTGGTCGGTGGAATGAGCTACAATTTTTACCAGCTATTGAGAGCAACCAAATTAATGTTCCCACAGAGCCGTTTTTCGATATTCGATTTAGAAAAAAATATATAAATAAAACAAGTTTTTCGGCTCTGTGGGGTACAGACCACCTTAACTACTGTCCTTCGAATAACTGCGCAGTAAACTTTACGAATCAATCTGTCATCATATACAGGCATCGTTAAACGGTAGCTTCGACTCTTAGATTCACGTGGTAAATCAATACACATGCACTCACGCTTATGTGTGAACTAAAACTGCTCCGAAGCCGACGAAGCGCACCAGTCAGCAACTGTCACAGGATCAAGATCCAATGAAAATATTCGGAGAAAAATTTACAAATGAAAAAGTATCACAAGTAGCAGCAGCTTGCACTTCAACAAAATCTCAAAACTCAGATGAAACCAATCGGCTTAATGCACAAGAAAGCAAAAATTTAATAGCAGCAGAGTCAGCAACAGTTGGTACTTCAACACAAGAAAAAAACTTAGATAAAATAAAACATCTTAATGTACGAGGAAGCAGAAATGTAATTGTAGCGGAGACAACAGCAGCTGGCACTTCAAGACAAGAAAAACCCCGAAATA